AAAATCTAGTAGACTTTTAGTAAATATTACAAGTCTTTTGTACACAAAAAACAAGTTTTTTAAAGAAGTGTATTTACTAAAGATGTGTTTGCAATATATTAAGTATTTCAACACTTTGTTTTGAATAATCTGTATGCAAAGTGATTTTAATGTTAAGATTAAAAATACTTTTCTTCATCTCAAAAATCTCAAATCTCATTTGTGTAATCTCTAAAATATCCTAAATACATATAAAAAGTCTGCCAAGTTAGTAGTATCAAATCTATAAAGACTTAAACAAGTACAAAGAGGTCATGTGGTCAGTCAGGTTGACTGAGCCCATAGTGAGAGAGTTAGAAAACGTTTTTCCTCCAAAAAATATCAAATATCACTTGGGTAATCTCTAAAACCTCCTAAATATATTTCAGACGTTTGGTTCTGTAAAATATTATATCTTATCTGTTATTTTCTCTATCCTAATTCTATATGGGGTCAGTCAAATTGTTCGACCTCATAACCACCTTAAAAAATTAGGAAATAAATATAACTTATGCTTTTTTCATTCTAGAATGACTACAAATTATAGCATGAAAACACAAATGTTTAGTCTAAATAGCTTAAATCTCATAACATTATACATTTATATATATTTATTATTTTTTTATTATATTGACCTTCCGGCCATGCCTGGCTAACATTACAGAAGGTGCAATGATGCGGCGTACGTGCACTCATGTTATCGTATCCAATAATACAAAACTGGCCTTTACAAAGTGACTGTCTTGGCTGTGTAGTAGCAGACTAGTATTTTTGTAAAATACAGTTCCATTTCAATTATTATACATATGTATATAGATTATTTCGTTTTAGAAATAAGTTCTTCAACTTATTCTTCTTAAAACATAGAACAGTAAATAAAAAAGTATAGCAAACAATTAATTATCTCTTCTAGTTATGAACTTTGTACTCATTTGCTGCTTGCCGTAGGTTGCTGAGCCTTATCAAATTTTGCATGTGGAGGATGTTAAATGAATAATTTTTTTAGATTTTATATATACATTTTGAAATAACCAAAAATCCTAAATTACTATATAAATACCATAGAATTCCACTATAAACACTTTCCAGAAATGTAAAGAGGTGGGCAGGGCCACTGTGTTTGATTCAGTATATGTAGTGATATCTCAGCAAATAGAAAAGATAGGAGGCTCTTATTTTATATTCTAGCTTGTTAATATTGGTAATTTAAGTTCCTAATTTTTAAGAATCTATAGAATTTGTATTTGGACATCACAAACATCTAATTTGAACAAATGATGCATTCAACATACCATGTGACACACAAAAATCAATATTAAGGTGTTTTTTTTTTTAATATTTACTTTTAAATTAAGAAATTAACTAATGTATAATACTAAAATTTGAATGATAATCTACAGTTTGAT